GGGGGGGCCTGGTGGGGTCTTTGTGAAGGCGAGGCAAGGGCCTGGGCGGCGGTGTGATAGGGCTTCACCGTGTTCCCTTTCACAGGAGACAGTTGCTGCAACCCACAAAGCATGGGCTACATTAAGAAAATAGTGGAGAAGAAAATACCGGGGATTTATGTCCTGTCTCTCAAGATTGGAAGCAACTTGATACAGGTAACTAACTCTGCTGTAACGCGTGTTTCTGCTCGGCAGGGCGGTGGCCGCCGTGCGGAGCTGCAGGTGCAATAGTTCTTGCCGTCACTGGCGTTAACGTGGTTCCGCACGGATTCGTGTAGTGCTTTCCCTGCTATTGTTTTTTTTCTTTGTGAAGAGCTTTAGCAGGCAGAAGCCAGTATAGTCCAGATAATACCTGCAGAAAAGAACTGGGGAAAAACAAATCCCTAGTCTAAATTGGATTAATATGCAAATCCACTGATTAGCACTCTCTCACCACTCCAGGTACTACAAAGGCATGCAATAAGCTATTTTGTGCTAAAGCAGAGCTTTACCCTTTGCTATTCTTTTTGATTTATGAGCATTTATTCAATTATTTAATTTAATTATTATTTTATTTATTAACTAATTTAATAAAGATATAGACTTCTGTGCCTTCATATTTTTTGACACTTTTGTGCAACCCTAAGGAATTTCTTTAAATAGTCTCTCAGGATAACGTGCAATGTATGTAGTTTCTGGGATCTGGAAAAGATGGGCAAAGTTTGATTTTTTTAAAAAAATTTATATATATATATATACACACACACATATATGTACAAAATCTGAAGGCACTCAGATTGTCAGGAAGTTCGGGGAAATGTTGCTGTTCCCTGTGAGCCAGTTTCACCAGGCAGGGTAGGAACAAATACGTGGTGAATGGAAGTCTCAAAACTTGAATTCCACTTCTGTCGCTGTGAAAGTGAAGGTCCTCTTCCAAAAGCAGAACTGTTGGTGAACTGTTTGCAGAGATTAAAATAACGTAAACTGCTGTAAAGGTGCAAGTTGTACGTTCTGATCTGGCTAATCCACCAGGATATGGAGAACAGCTTCTTTATGAATGTGAACGATCAAGTGAGGGAGGTGTGCAGCCAACTCGCAGAGGACCCTCACCTGAAAGGAGGCTACAACGCAATGGGCTTCTCCCAAGGAGGCCAGTTCCTGTAAGTTTACACTTCTGTTCCATTTCCAGGGATTTCTGTTGGGTTTTGAGTTCTGATTTAAAACTCTTTGAAGTGCCTAGCAGATGTAAACTGACAAACCCCTTCATAAAGGTAGGAGTGCTCCAAAGGAGTCAAGAATGTGTTTGCGTGTAGCCCAACTTGACCAGGAAGGGTTAATTCTCTTTGCAGACCCTACCGGAGTGCCCAAGCTGGTGCAGTGGCAAGCTGAGAGCTGCCCCTGAGGCTTTGGTGGCCTGGGCGCAGCTCCTCCATCTTTCTCCGCAGGAGGGCGGTGGCCCAGAGGTGTCCTTCTCCTCCCATGCTCAGTCTGATCTCCATTGGGGGGCAGCACCAAGGTAGTGTCCTCTTAAGCTACCTCACCTCCTGACTGCTGTGAAGTGTGGGGGGCTCTTGTTGGCAGGAAGAATGATTTTTCTTTGGCCTCTTTCTAAAAACTGACCATTCTCTTGTGAATTAAACTGTCCCTTTGTTCCTGTCTGAACCTGGTGATCTGCTTTAGCCCAGTTGTTAGCCAGCTACAGTATCTTCTGTCTTGGTCTTGCTTGACTGGCAGTGAGAAGGGACCTTTGTAAGTAGGCGGCTTATTGTCTGGGTAGAATTCTTATATACTTTGGAAGCATTTGGGATTAGTTGTTTTGGGAGAGGAAACTTCTGACTACAGAGAAAAGCCTTTGTGAAACTGTACCTTGCGGGTCATGAGGATATTTTACAGTCTGCATCTGGAAGGCTAAAGCCCCAAGGAAAGGGAGGTGCTTTCTGCAGCAGATTAAAGAGGCAGCATGAAATGGAATTTGAGGTGTACAGTTAAGAGTGGCTGGCAATGAATTTCAAATACTCTCCCCTGAGACGTTCCATGGCTCGAGTCTATTTCTTTGTAGTAGAGTGGGAAGACTTGTAGGGAACCATCCCGAGACCTCCTGGGAACACACCAGGCGAGCTGGACAGTATTCTGCTTGTCTCCACGCCCCCATTCTCCGGAGCAATACCCTCAGCTCAAGAACATCATCCATTATCTGTGTGTGTAATAGTGCCCAGGGGCAGGAGGGCTGTCTAATGAGATTGCAGGATTAAAGGTCGCCTGATTCCCTGGGTAATTCTTGCCACTGCTCTGTAAGAGGGTGGTTCTTTACCAGCTGGAGGGATTAAAGGATTTCAGTTTGGCTTATGGAGCTGTTACACATGTCTCCATATCCTAGGCGTGTACGGCTTTCCACGCTGTCCTGGTGAGAGCTCCCATATCTGTGACTGGATCCGAAAGACGCTGGATCTGGGCGCCTACACGCAAGCTGTTCAAGAGCAGTGAGTGTATTCACCAGGCTGTAACGACAGGAGCTGGGCCCATGTAAGCAGCTCTGGGTTTCCAATCTGATCACTGGTTTCTCTCTTCTCCAGCTTGGTACAAGCAGAGTATTGGCACGACCCTCTGAAGGAGGACGACTACAGGAAGAACAGCATCTTTCTGGCTGACATAAATCAGGAGAGGGTAAGGACCTGGCTGCTGATTAAGTGCTAGCAGGAGAGCAGAAACCTTTGCGGTGAGTTCCTGCACGTCAGCTCTCCCTGGCTGCAGTTTTGCTGGAGTCTGAAGGGGAACATTTTTTTGTGCTGCATCCCAGGAGTGTACAAAGTGTTTTTGCTGGTAGAGTTGTGAACGAGACTTGTCCGTGGCAGAGCAGTTCCTGTGTCACTGCACTCTTTTGGAGTGGTTGGTGTAGATATGCCAGGTGCTCAGTCTGCCCATCGTTTTCGAGTGGGCAAATCCTTTTCCTCCCCTGGGAAGGCAGGGAGGCCCGTGCCCTCTTTACAGCCTGGAGGTGAGGCTGGATGCCATGAGCACAGCCAAGGGAGGCAGCTGACAGAAATGCATGTTCTTGCCTCCTGGGCTGGTGCAGCCCCAGGTTTCCTCTGTAGGTGCAGGGCAAGTTGGAGCAGGTGGTTTCCCCGACCTGTCTCAGTGGGCTTTCCAGCGACTTGGGTCTGTTCTCTGTGGCTTTCATCCAGGGCATCAATGAGACGTACAAGAAAAACCTGATGGCTCTGAAAAAGTTTGTGATGGTGAAATTTCTCAACGACACCATGGTTGACCCGCCCATCTCTGAGGTGAGGCAGGCAGGGCAGGTGCTGCTTTTGGGTGGTGTTTTGGTGCTCGCTTGCTGGTTTTTGGTTTGTCCTTTGGTGGAAGAACTTGAGGTCAGCGAGGAGCAGGCTGAGCACAAACAAGGCCTGATACTGCACTGTCTCCAGCGGAAGCTGGGGAAATCATGCTTGTCTCCAGGGAGCCCTTCAGCAACTGTGTCTTTGTTTTAATTCTGACAGTGGTTCGGGTTTTACAAAAGTGGGCAAGCCAAGGAGACTGTCCCGCTGAAGGAGACCTCGCTGTACACGGAGGTATGTTCTGGTGGGGCTGGAGGGTTTCTGCTGTTTCCTCTCCATAGTGTCCCTGGGACCTTGAGGAGCTCTAAACCCCACAGCTCTGCTCTGCTCACCATCTCTGCTGCTCGTGGGGCACGGCCTCCTCTCGCCAGCAGCTGTTCGGGAAGGCATTTCCCTCCAGGCCAGTGCTGGCAGTGGGAATTACACTGGTGGTCTCATGCCTGGCTCAAGATCCCCTTCAGCATGTGTTTAATGAACTCTACACCTTTTTAAAGCCTTGTAAGAGTCATCCAAAATGCTTTTTATCCTTCTATGAGCTTTGAAGAGCAGAGGCAGAACCCACTCCAGCCTGCCAGCCACTTCTGCTGCAACAGCGGTCCCTGACCATCAGCGCTTCTCTCTGTGCCGGGTTCCCCTGCCGCTGCCAGCGTTCAGCCGTGGCACGGCCCCAGGAAGCTATGGTCACGGTTCTCTCTCTGCAGGATCGCCTGGGGCTGCAGGAGATGGACAAAGCAGGAAAGCTGGTGTTCCTGGGGGTGGAAGGGGATCACCTGCACTTCTCAGAAGAGTGGTTTTACACCACTATCCTCCCCTTCCTCCAGTGAAGCTAAGGGGAGGCACGGGGGAGCATCTACCACTGTAGTTAATGCAGCTGCTACTGTGCAACAGCACTTTCTGTGTGCAAGCTTGAGGGGGGTCAGGGGAAGGGGAGAAAGATGGGGTTTAGCTCAGCAGTTCCACAGTGTGCAGAGGTGGCACCTGTTCCACTGCAGTAAGAGACCGGGATTTGTCGGGATGTAATTACGCTCCAATAGGGGAGGCCTGAGCCTTGCACTAACTCTGCTGCACTCTGTCTGGCACAGGCCCTGGTAAGTCCACTTCGCTTCCCAGAGCCGGGGCAGTGCCGGTCACCTGGTGACAGCAAAATCATTAGCTGGGCGAGAGGCTCGTTGTCCCCATCGCCTGTTCCTCACAGGACACAATGGCAGTATTAACCGAAATCACTAGTGCGAGGATGCTGCATCTCCCAAGTAGACCCGTATGGCTGTATGCAGAGGAAGTATATTACAGCCTCTCCTTCAAGATAGTGAAAAGGGCCAAATGTAGGGGTTTCTGGGGAAAAAGGAGGGTTTTGTATGAAGCAGGTATTAACAGCTTGAACAGTTTTCAACTAATGGCTTGGTTTATGCACTTTTGTACAGCAACTGAAATCAATAAAGAACTCTACATCTAACCAACTAAGAGAGAGAAAAAAAAAAAGGTAATATTTGACAACTACTGACCATTTGATTCAAGGGGAGTTAGGGTAAGTCTGTACTTCCTGTCTGGACTGCTTTGAATGCCTTGCCCAAGGGGGTCAGGCAGCAAAGGGCATCCTGTCCTACCTGAGGTCCTGCGTGCCCCGAAAGAGTAAACAAGAGCCACTGTAATGAGCAAGTTGGCATTAACTTTATTCTATCTTCTGTATAATCTTAAGTACATAAGAAAGGTTTTCTCACAAGCCTCAGGAGAAGACAAGTACAAGTCACAGGACAGTCTCAAAATAAAAAAATTGCATATTTTTTTGTAAGTTTTGTCCTAGAGAAAAAGAACATTGACACTTTACAGAGGAAATGCATTTAAGATATGCTTATGCCGCCCGAGGCATTGGAAAACTGAAGGTCAAAGCACGTGCAGCTCCCTTTATGGGTCAGTACAGTACTGTGTCTTGGATCCATCACTCTGCTCCAGGGCCCTGGAACAGAGGCTACAAGCTTCCACCAAAGTAAAGAGCCAAGCAACAGGGGAAAGGGGAGGTCGAGAGGACTCACTTTATGGGGGCTGACTGCAGAGGAGGAGGAGAGTGATGAACGGCCCTGATCCAACTCGGGTATTTACAATACTGCGCTGCTGACCCTGGAATGGAGGAGACCCTTCCTCTGCAGAAGGGGACAGGTTCAGAAGAACTGTCCTGGAAGACTGAACCTGAGTTCAGCTGCTCTGACAAGGAAGCCCCTGGGCAAAGATTCCCTTGTGAGGGTGGAGGGCTTACGGAATAGGAGGTGCTCAGCTCCAAGCCACCAGCCAGACTGGTGGGGGGGTAACCGCAGTTACTTCACTGCAGTCTTCCCGTGGAACCGGTTAATACAACGCCTCCTGTCATGGCACAAACAGAAATACACTGAGCTAGTAGGAATGATGAAAGAGAAATCAGGGTGGAATGCTATGGCCCAGGTCCTCAGCCTTTGGTCCGACAAAGCCGTTCCCATGTCCTGTAATGCCACCAACTAGAGCATAGCGCTGGAATTAGCGGCTTCCAGGACCCTCTTGAGGCATCTGCCATAGCAACTGGGTACTCTGGACCCCAACATAAACCATTATTTGTTAAAAAGGGAACAACATTCCTCTCTCACATGAACAGTTTGCTTAAAGGCAATACAAAAAAAACTCGAACAACACTCTGAAAGCCAACTGCCAGTACTGGCTGTGAAGTTCACCGAAAATCTCACTTGATCAATTGGTGCAGTTAGATCAGACAAGGGGAGAAAAAAAAAATACACCTTCCTGCTAATAGATGTGGACGATAACCGACCCGCCACCTACACCAAACCCCAGGCAGAGGTATTTCAGTGACGGCAGGTAGCTGTGTCTCTCAGGTAGAAGAGAAGCAGTTTGAGAGCAGAAAGGTACAAGAAATCTAAGAGAATCATCTGAAAGCAGATTTGTCCCACAGCAGGGCCAGGGGAGGGCATGAGCCTTGGAGCTCTTCTGCTTAGCCAGCAATTTCCGTCACAGTGGTAACCAACTTCTGACCATTCCACACGGTCTTGAACTGTTCTGGGACAGGGAATTCAGTCTGGAGAGTAAAAATAGAAATCTGTCATCAAAAATCAGTTTATGACTGAGGCTAGTAACTATTCCCACTGCTTTAGGCACTTGTTTTTTAGATACATGCCATGTCCCCTCCTGTACCACAAACACTGCCTGTTCAACCCCCCCCCCTCCCCCGAGATCCTAAGAAAACCCTCTCAAAAAAAAGCAAGAATCTCACCATAAAGACAACCAAATTGATTTGCTGGTTTTAGCATCTGATCATCATCCACAACCTCCAGAGTCTAGAATCATCCCTCCAGATCTCACTGTGGCTGCCATTTCCTGCAGGGCTCAAGATACGAATCCTGCCCTGCGCTACCCCAACCCAAGCAGACCACAATGATTTCAAAACATGAACACTCACAAAGTCACCGCCCTCTGTGGGAATAAGGACATTCATCTCTGATGACTTGGCACTGACGATTTCGCAGTCTAGGGAGTTCTTGCTCAGATACACGTGGCAACCGTCTGTCTTGTTGATGGAAATTGTTGGCACTTTACCCATTACCTAGCAGGGGGGTCAAAGCAGCAGTTAGAGGAGCATTAGCTTGAACGGGGCAACCACAACATTTTTCTTTTGTGTTTCTCTTCAAGGGAAGAGATTTGACTCCAGCCCCCCAGCTGCAGATAGGCTGGATTCAAGTACTCCCACCTCTGGCAAAAATCCCAAGTTATTTCTTGTTTTGATCTCTTTAGAACAAAACTCCACTGAATGCTGGGCAAGTTGACCATCCCAAATCAGATACCTAAACTGGAATCAGAGTAGATTCTACTGCTGTCTCCTACTTTGGCAGTCATGTGGCGCTGCCCGCCTCACAGAGACTAATTTTTACCAAAAGCCCTGAAACCGAGGTTTAGTGAGGCAAATTTCAGCCCTTTCCTCAGGGCTGGGCAGGGTGAGCTGCAGAGCAGTAGGACAGATGGTGTTTCACGAGCGTTCTCCACAGAGGCACATTCCTGTTCTGGAAATAAAACTACTCAAAGCAGCAGATGGTACAGTCACCCCGTCGTACGGTGCACAGTCACACTCCAGGCAGACAACAGGTTACAGGCGCTCACCTGAACTTTAACGTCCCTGCTGTTTATGATCTCTACGATGCCCACCACGTCGTCGAACACCAGACCTAGCTTCTTACAGTTATCTGCAAAGAAAAGACAGAGTAGCTCGCAGAAAGGTTTTGGAGATTCAGCCTTCTGCAAACACACAAGCACGCAGAAGCTGTTTTCAGGGTTTCTCCACTTACCAAGGGTGATGGAGTTGATCTTGCCTTTGATTTGGAGTGTACTATTTGTGCATTTGAAAACATATGCTACCTGCTTCAACTCTGTGTCGCTAATTACCAGGTTTGTAGCATTCTCCTGGTTTTCCTGAAAAGGCAGGGAAAACGCACTTTATTTTCTGAATGCAGACCAGTTAATCCATGTGAACAGCAGGGCAGTGCAGCCACTTTAAAAGCAAACTGCATGTACCTTCAGAAAGGTCTTCAGGAGACCCTCCCTCCCTCCCTGCTGCAAAGCTCCCACCCCTCCAACCCCCTCATGCCGACGCCAGGCACTCACCACTCTCCACTTTTTGCCCTCTAATTCTAGCAACGCGGGTGCCTTTGGAGAGGATTTCTGGGAGGGGTTAGCATTACAGGCTGGTTTGGGAGCAGTGAAAGGTTTGGGTCCACTTCTCACAGGGCCCCCTTGGTTCTTCAGTGCTGGATTCTTGTGGGTCTTCATGTCATCTGAAACATGTCTTAAGCCTGCAAGAGAAGGCAAACCTGAGCTCCAGCTCTCCTCCAGGAATGCAGTTTCACAGACTCCAGACATCGGTGATTACAACAACCAGCATGATAACATTTTTCAAAATGCAAATAAATTACTGAGACTGGGCCTGAGTTCCGCGCAAGCATGAGTGACAGCAAGTGAAAGAGGGAGGAAGAAACACTTGACACAATATTGACGAGAACACAAGATGCACTGTAGAACCAGAAGGCACCAGCTCTTCCACTCTGCACCTGCAAAAGCCCTGAGCCAAGCACCTCGCCTCTGCTTCACGCCTGTCCTGATCTGCTAACCAGGTAACACACAAAAGGGACAAGTTCTGTGCAAATATGAACAGGTGCAAAACTGCACCTTTTGTAATTGAA